GCCCTTTCTGGGACTTCCCTGGTGGCCCAGTGGGTGGCACTCTGAGCTCCCGATACAGGGGGTCCGGGTTCAATCCCTGGTCGGAGAACTAGATCCCGCATGCATGCCGCAACTAAGAGTTTGCATGCTGCAACTAAGAAGTCCGCATGCCACAACTAAGACCCAGCGCGGCCAAAATGAATAAATAAATTCTTTTTTTAAAGCTTTTTCCTTCCTTCAGGGCCCTGATGAAAACCCACCGGCTCCAGGAAGCCTTTTCTGACTGTGGGTCACAGATGTCTTTTGGTTCAAAATCAACGCCCCTCTGACATTGTTTACCAAACAATTGATTACTGTCTCTGCATTATTTCTTTGCCAATTACATTACATTCTGAAGGTAAGAACTAAATCCTACAAGTTATATTCCTCCATGCCTACCACACAGCTGAGTATATGACAAACATTCAAAAATAAGTATAAGTGTACAGACTTTTAACAATGCAGACATTCTACCTCAAGGATCATCTGGTCCTAAGCCCTTATCTTACAAGACGGAAAAAAAAAATCCTCAAAAAGTTAGATAATGATTACCTGATAACCATAATAAGAGTAATCATAATTTAAAGGATAGCTACAATTTTTCTGGCACTCATTAAGTGCCTATCTATGTGGTAAAAACTTTTCATACATTCTCTCATTTACTCCTCAAAACAATCTCATGAGGTGGATATTATTTTGTTCTCAGATGAAGAAACTGAGGCTTTCTCAGGGTGATTAAGTAACTGCCCCAAAGTCATACCTATTAAGTTGCAGATATAAGATTCACACCTACTTTAGCTGGGACCAAAGGCAATTTATAGATGGCTGATGTACAAACAAAGAAACAAAAGCTATAAGCTGCCTCAAAAATTTCTGTCATCAATGTATCACCCCTAAAAGCCTTTGTAAAAAAAAGTTTACGTAGTACAATATTTTATATGACTAAAATATTCCCAGAATAATTATGGCAACCAATCTTCCCAGCCCCTTCCCCATCTTTCTACCTCCTTAAATATAGTAACAAGTATTACATCCTCCAAAAGAGAAGAAATTATTCTTTAACACTTGAAATTCCTGGGACTAGGAGGGTGTTAATTACCATCCAGAAACTCAAAGCATAATAAGGCTCAAAAATGTAGATATTTTAAAGCCTGTCCCCTTAGTACTTGAAAAGTCAACCTATTTTCTTTTGCTATTATAGAGAGAAACACAATTCCATGATTTCCATGGCTTTTATTCTACATCATCTTTGCAACTTTGAACTCTGGTCAAGGCAGCCTCTTGCCCCCTCTGAACAGTGGGTTTCTAAGGTCTCAGAGACATTTACTCTTCAGAGAGATAAAAATGAAAAAAGGATCAATCCTAAAAGGTTTATAGTAGTGAGAAAAGAAAACCATCTGCTCTGAGATAGCTCTGGGCTGATTTTCCCAGCAGGGGAGCCCAGGTTTTACAAACCTTATTCTCATTAGAAAAAGGTAGAGAAATCGCTGACAATTAGTATAAACGATTTTCAAGCCCTAAGGCATACTGAAACAATGTATCTTAGAATTATATGCAGGGTTTTGGTTAGCTGGAACACCTGTGCAGTTGGAGAGTTTGGTTTGTTTTTTAAGAGGATAGAATGTTACAGCACTTTCTGGTTTTGAAAGGTATTAGATGCTATGCCCACCGCTACTTACTGTCACATGCTCAAAATTTCAATACAGTCTCTATGAACCTATTTATTCTGGATCAGCAAAGCTTCCAAGGAAAAATGACAGTTCATCTAGAATAAATCTTCATTATTCTTTTGTGCTGAAATGCCAGGAGGTTTGAAAACTAATCCTCTGTACACTCTCGTGTTATCTTCTGTCCACCTCCTGTCTCCCCAGATCCTGTCCCCGACGCTCCCATATCAAATTGATTTTTATTTAACAGAAGCCTTTACCAGCTCCACAAATAACTGCTCTGTGGTCTTTGAACTATTATTCCTATTGCCCGTTTTCTTCATTCTTTGTTCATTTAATGCGTTACAGCATTCATACTGGGGGATAGACAGGTGAGCATATTCTCCAAACAAAAGACATTTTAGAAATTCCCAGTGGACAAGTTTAGCCAATCAGAGGTACATTACTTACCTTTGATTTCTCTCTAACTCTTTAACTCTTATTCAAATAAAATAGATTTAAAAGCTTGTTTTCCTATGCTCAAAGCACTTTCGAAGGCTTTCGAAGACTAAGATTAAAAAAATTCAGGCTAAAAAAAAAAGCCAACTCCTTGAGCAGAAAATGAGCACCGTATTTCTGGTCCATATTTTCCCCCATAGCTTTAAAGTAAGTAATTCCATTTTAAAAATTAACATCCGTTGAAGACACTGATAGAAGACCATCCAAAAATAATGCCTTGCAAGTCAAGAGAAAGGATGACGTTTGTAGAGGGATTTTAGGATTGAGAAATGCGATTCAAAAATCTCAGACTAAACGGTGAAGTATCTAGTTATAAAGAGCCTTGATGGAAAAGAAACATAATTCCATAATTTGACTAAGGGAACATTTAATAAACTCTCATTTAATAGAAGAGAAAAACCTTGAGCAATGGGGGCTCAGTGATAAGCGGCTGCCCAGGGCCATAGAGCTGGTTTATGACAAAGCCCAATGTACAACCCAGTCAAGGATATTCTTCCCGCCCCTCTGCATTGCTAATGGGAGACTAAGTATCTCTATTTGATCACACTTCTTTCCAGATTACAATGCCGACTCAACAAAATCAGTGTTCTCAAAAGATCTGGCAGCTGGTTTACTGTAAATTGTCACTGACCCAGGGTTTTTTTTTACTACAACTCAGATTATTGAGTTGAAGAAAATACAGTGCAGATTCTAAGCACCAACGTACTTATAACAAAAGGTCACTGGCTACACTGATGCATATTTCCATTTGCTATTTGTTGTCCAAGTAACCTATCCACACAAGAAATGTAGTTTCCCCCATCAGTTCCTAATATTAGGGAAAAAATTTAGGCCTTTCTCAAATTCCTAGTCCTGCAGTATCTGGGGAAGGAAAGGATTTGACCTTTAAAGCCTATTTGTTAACACTGGCTGAACCTATTCACACAGCACATGAAGGCACCAGACATTTTCTTTATAGCAGTTTAATGAGTTCCTCTAAGAGTGTGTCTAGAAAAAGCAGCCATGATTCTCACTCAAGACAAAAATGGAACCACAAAAAGACTCAACAGAAGAAACGCAACTAATTTACAGTGTAATATATAACTCTCTGCATGGGCGAGGCACAGTATTTCTGAAAATGCCAAGCAGAATGAAATGAACACAGGAAAAAAGGAAGAGGAGGAACAAAGCACACGCTGAGTTGAGTCCTTAAACCAGAGGTACATGCTGGGTACAATGTACGCGGTTAAGCACATTAACAGTGTGCTTAACCAGAGAGGATGCTTTAGTGCCTCATCAGTGAAAACTCTTAGGCGGGGCCTGAGAAGGACCTGGTGTGCTCTGCGCTGTGCTCTACTTGAGCAAGATCCACGTGATGAATCCATTCACCTTATTCAGAGCTAGTTTATCTTTTTCCCTCACATACTAACAGAGCTTTCATAACTTCATCACAAGGAACCTCAGCCAAAGTGAGTTGTCTGGAGCTTGGGGGTGGGGGGCACCCCAGGTACTTAATAGATGTAACAAAAGGCTAGGACATTTGGAGTCCCCTTTCAAATACTACCACACAGGCAGTGTGATATTCTGTATTGGTTAAAATTATATCCTATACCCAGTCGGTAGCCCTGATCAGGATTGACTCCCCCTCGCCGAGGGTGGTCAACTAGCATTACTTCAGAGGTATCTGTATCTCAGTCACACCCGAGATTTTGCTAATTGGCATACTGAAATGGGTTTTCATTGCCGAAATCAAAGTCAGTGTTCTCAGGATGTTAGAAACAGGATTTCATTGTTGAAACTAGCGGTATTTAAGGTAAGTGAATCGGCAAAGTCAATTTAGAGATATTCTCTGCCCTTGCATGAGCAGCGCATAAGAATCTATGAAAGTCTGTAACTTGGACCCTTAGGACTGGCACCCGAGGCCCAACTGTTCAATGGCCTTATGTCCAGCATCTGGGGCACAGAAGCCCCATTGCATGATGCCCACCATAAAAATGAGAGAATCCTGCCTCCGGAAAGTTGTCAGGTCATCAACCTTAAGTGGAACCTTCCAACGAGATTTGGCTGGAGCACTTAAAAGGCCTGAGAGCAGGGACTTCACTGAGTTTATAGGACAGGCACAATGCTTTGTGCCTGTTTGCCAGGAAATGTCTGTTTAATAAAAGTCTGTGTGCAGCAGAACTGGCCTGCGACTTACTTGAGCTGTGTGGGAACAGCAAATCCTTGCTCAAAACCTCAGCCACTTTTCTGTAGACCGTAAGAGTTGGGCGTGACCAAAATGACTTAAGACTATTCTCAACGAATATATCACACCTGGAACTGCTGTGCTGGAGCCCACCCACACCAGCTTGGTAAATTTCCAGGAATTTTACAAGCCAGTTGTTAAATACAGTCATTAATTGATTAAAAATATCTAAACTTCCAATGAAATACATTATATTGAAAACAAAGGTAAGAGATACTCAAAATTGGTTCACTTCCTAATTTTCTGCTATATTTTAACTAGGATTTGTGTCAACTGGATCTGTATATGTTAGAGCTCCACTGGGCATCTCTTCTCGGCTCTGAAGTTGCTTTTGTCAAACTGCTGTTTGAAATTGGCCGCGGTGGGAGTATTTACACCACAGAAACCAGCAGGTGCTACTTATCAGGGTTTTGCTTGTTTTCAGGTCTGGTGATTCAACGCCAGAACTCCCTTGGTGTGAATGGCCTTTGATTAATAGAGAAGACTTTGCCTCCTCTAAAGCCTTCAAATACACCAGCATAAATAAAAACTCACAACACCCTTTTCCTCACAAGGACCACACCGCCATGCACCATGCGACAGGACACACTCACTTTTGAAGCAGCTGGGTCCACTAGTCTCTGGCGATGTCGGGCTGAGTTGAAATGGCTCTTCGGAGGCTGCCCTTCCTGACAGGGAATGGAAGATGGGGATGAACGAGGTGGGAGAGGAGAAGGTGGGGCGTGGGATGATGGGAAAATGGTCGGAAAAGGGAGAGGGACAGCATTTAACGGCACTGTACTTGTCTGTTTCAGCTAAAATCCAACAATAAAAAGACATGACACGATTTTGCCCCACAAAACCACATGCCACGTGCAAGTCATTTTATTAAAAATAGCCTTGTATATGCATGTGTGTGATAAAGTCATGAACATAGCCCAGTATCACATTTCCCATCAAATCTGCACTTTCCTGTTACCTGATATTGCCCCTAATTATATTTCAAGAATACTAAGGAAAACTGGAGCACGATTTCCCTGAACATGAAGTCAATCTTCCTAGAATAGCAGAAGGCAGTAAGGGGCATTCTTAGACTTGCCGCCCATTTGGATATCACCAAAAAGACACAGAAATCACCGTCTTCCCCCAAACCAAGAAAACTCTCTTGCCTCAGAAGCTCCTCTCTTCTTCGTCCTGGCAGAATTCCTGGTGTCTGGCAGCCACCAAAAACTCTGCCCCTGAATGCAGTTAAATTTTATTGGATGGAACAGAGATTAAGCATTAAGTTTATAACCTAACCTGTGTAGAAGGGTGGTCGTTTTCTTAGACAAACCCTTGTATAATATATTGGACAAATGGATCAGGTAGAAAGACTTAACACCTCCCATCACTCATTCCATGTCAAACACACACACACACACACACACACACACACACACATACACCCAAGCAACTGTATTTTAAAGGAAAAGTTTGGAATAGGGGCCCATGGTATAGAGGCCCATGGGGCCCATGGTATAGAGTTTCACTTCTCCATCTTTCAAAGCTGGATAACAGTAAACAAGAATCTAAGAAGCAAGCACAGTCCACTGTGAGCACTGACTTCAGGGATGGGGAGATGAAAGCAACAGAGAGACGGTCTCAGAAAACCCCTGGGCATAAAGCCCCGGGTCCAAGTGAGCATCTACCTAGGGAGTGAAGTATCTGTCACATGAGTATTAGCATCTGCTCACAGAGGAGAGTGTAAAGACCTCTACTTAGGTAAAAATGCGATGTCTGTATTACAATACTTGAGAATTCTTTTTTTCTTCTAAGAATAACAGCTCTGTTACTTTTAAGACATGGATCAATCACACCCACTTGAATTGCCAACAATCACTGCTTCGGTATCCAAAGTATAACGCTTACCTTTCAAACAGGAAGTGTTATAAGTAGCAGATTGCACATCAGGATTATGTTTTTCCTACTAACTGCCCTGCCAACACGCATTCTTTCCCTACCCTCTTCTGAAAAAAATGCAAGGCAATAGTTTTAAATCTCGGTTGACCTAGAAAATGTACCAAAGCTTTAACAGCAGAAATTGTTCTCATTAATTAACTGAATATTTGGCAAAACAAAACAAACAAAATTGAGTATGATTTCCCATTCAATAGAATCAATAGATTTTACATGAGAAATAGTTTTTTTAAATCAGATTATTTATTTAGCTTGATTTGAAACCTCCTTTAAATTTAATGGTTTATCAGAAAGTGGTTTAATGCTTTTTCTCCTAAAAAAAAAAGTTATCAGATGTAAATAAATACTTATCCTCATTAATATGTCTGGAGAACTACCTGCCCTTATCAACCTCCCTATGGAATGATTACAACCAATTTAAGAGTTCCAGTGCACAGTGCCAGGCTCCCACTCATCAGGAAAAAAATTAATCTTGGCGTTAAATACACAATTACAGTCAATGTGCAAATTAACTAAATCCTGAGCCTGTGGTTTATTGCTTTTCTTCTGACTTCAAGGTGAAAAATGTTATATATTTTTTAATTAGCTAATTGCACCATGAACTCAGCAGGGGGCAGCTGTTGATATTAAACTGTGACTCTCAATCTTAAACTCCCATTTTGTGAAAGGCTGGTTTAAAGAGGGCAAGCACATCCTTCAAGGGGAATGGAGGGGGAGGGTGGGTTTTCAAAACCTGGTCTCCACTTAGTCTCATTTATTGTGAAGTACACTGACGCTGTAACAATAGTCTGCTTGTGATGAACAAATAGGCCTATGAGATAATCAATATATTTACACAGATTCCAGTAATACATCTTAATAGAAACCAAAGAACAGCCTGGAGGATTAATGTCATTTTAATGAATTGCTTATCGAATAGAAATAAAGGGATTCTGAACAGTTCAGAGCAAGTTTTTCTCCATATGGCTCATGTCTGAAATTCATCTTAATTTTCAAAAATAGTCACACTGTATTCTGTTGTTGACAAAAAAAAGTTGGTGGTGGTCGGTGGCCTGTGTGTCCTAGAGTTACTGAGGCTTTGTAGATAGGTGGACATAGCTATGTCCTTGATAGGAACCTTTGAGAAGAATTTAATTCATTAGAAACTGGACATGTCACCTTCTTCACTTTAGGAAGACCTTCATTTAAAAGCTTTCCTTTCTTATTACAGGCCAGATTCCCTCATACAGCCAGGGAAGGTATCTGACCATAGCCAGCTCTATGAGTTCAATTGTGAAATATTTTACATTCTTTAAAAAGCAAACAGGGCCCTCAAAAACGGTATGGTAGGAAAGCAACATCCTTATATAACAAATTTGTATGTATAGCTTTCCATGTTCAAGAAAAACATTAAATTATATCTCTCAGGCCAACATTAAAGACAAAATTTGTGCCTTCATTTTCTTCCAAAATTCTTAGTCCCAAGAATCCATTTCTCCTCCTAAATGACGGCCTTCAGCCTCTGGTATCTGTCATTCCAGTCTGAGACATCAGTCTCCTGGTACCATTTACCTCCTGGCTAATGCCATCAACATCAGCAAAACAACAGATCGGACCTGGGTGGGCCCCAGGGGCTCTCAACTGAATGACTTATTTACATATGAAAATAGGGGCTCTTTACTACCAGGGGAGGGGGCAGAAGGAGGAGGGTTGGATTCCTCACCATTAGTTTTGTGGAAACAGAAGCACATTATGTTGCTTAGGTTAACTTATCAAAATCGTTTGCTGTGATCACCACTAATAAAAGTAGCAGCCCTCAGTTATGTCAATAAACTACTGAAAGATGACAAAAGAAGTGTTGACATGTACGTAACCTGGAAACTTAATGAGGCATATTTCACCTCCATGCTAAATGCTTTCATCAAGACTTCTCCTGTTAAGTAAGTCATTTTGGAAATTATAAACTTCCCTTAACACTGCAGATCATACTTTTTAAAGAAATTATTGTTCCTTAAACATTACAGATCTGATAGCGTAGTACTTTAGCCTAATTTGCATCACATAAACATATTTACAAGAATGTTCTGTGGAAAACAATATATCAGGTGTGAAATAATGGGTGCCCAATGAATTTAGTGGCTGACATCAGATTATTTAAATGCCTAACTCTTTAAATCAGGTATAAGTTACTCTATGTCAAAATTAGAGCCACAAGGAAAATTTAAAACTAAGTGTATCTATAATTTTGGCATTAGTTCCATTATTTTTTTAAGAAATATATCATTAGACATTTCCAGCTAGATATTTTAATATAAGAAAAAAAATAGAAAAATCACATAATTGTTTCAAGGGCTCCTAGAGGACTTCTTAAAAATCCATTCAAAGGAGTTTTAATTCTGAAAAGAATCACATGCATTCTTGGATAAGAATAAGCATTTTTACCCAACTCTGAGACATCCTTTTGTCTGAATAAATATATTTCACCCCCAGTCGAAGCTCTGACTTAACACTATACTTAAGTACGTACAACAAAGCTACTGCAAACAGGCCCTGGTAAAGGCACCCCTGCACATCAATAAAGCAATTTAGGACCACGCAAAGGCAAAATACTCCATGAAAATAAATCAACTGGAAGAATTCACAAGCTGGGGAGATCTAGCAATTACCAGGTGTATCAAAATAGGGATCAGACACCCAAATGAACATGGAAGAAATGTGCTAGAATACATTTTCGATGATGATATTATAGGCTACTAAAACAATGGAACAAATCCCACAGTAATTTATGAAAACCTTCATAATTCATAACCTTGTAAAGATGAAAGTACATCATGTTTTTCTTGTCTCTTTTCAGACCCAGGTTTTTCAACTTGGCTCAAGAGGAGAGTCATCAAAATAGGATAGGGGAAGGGATACTTCCACCTATGAAAGCAAACCCAGTGACTTTCTAACTTCTCACTGTGATGCTCATTGAGAAATACATTTTGCGTCATGAAACAATGCCTCCCAATACTACCAGCAATGCACTCTATTTTCTGACCTAGTTTAGTTCCTTTTTAAACAAACGCTGGTCTCTACTACTAAATTGATGATTTGACCTGCAGTTAAAAAACAGACCAAGGAAGTGCTTTTCAAGGGTCATGAGGGGACTTCCCTGGAGGTCCAGTAGTTAAGACTCTGTGCTTCCACTGTAGGGGGTGTGGGTTCTACTAAGATCCTGAAAACCGAGGGGCATGGCCCCCCAAACAAGAGAAACTTTCATGAGATAGGACTCACCTAGTAACTCCTTACAACTGCTTTAGGCTGTGTCCTAAACTTCGGTCATTTATTTTTTCCCCATATCCATGTACTATGTGTGCTATTACATCCACTGCATATACTATTCATTTCTTAAGTGCTTTCTTTAAAAAGATGACTCTGGATTTTAAAAACTTCTGTACTTCAATTTTTAATGATGGTTTAAGTAATAACATCTTGAAATCATGACTTGGTTGTGCTAGTTACATTTTGTTCTACTATATATTAAGGAAAATGCATTAAACATTATATAAAAACAGCTGTGTACTGACTAGAATCATCTGTGTGCAACCTGTAGTGTCCACGGCACCTCGGGTGGCAGCTGATAGGCATGAACAGCCCAGGCTCTGCAGTGTTTGTGGTGGGAAGAGGGGTGGTCACCATTTATGACTCTGCCGTAACATCTCCCCCCTCAACGCCAACTGCCTACTCTGAGATGACAAACAGGGACTGTAAA